TCAGATCATGGTGTTCTATGAATATCAGGTCATGGTGGTAGGTGTTGGGTGTTCTATGAATATACAGTGTTAGATGTTGGGTGTTCTATGAATATTGGGTCATGGTGGTAGATGTTGGGTGTTCTGTAAATATCAGGTTATGGTGTTCTGTGAGTTTCAGGTTATGATGGTAGATGTTGGGTGTTCTATGAGTATCAGGTTATGGTGTTCTGTGAGTATCAGGTCATGGCGGTAGATGTTGGGTGTTCTATGAGTATCAGGTTATGATGGTAGACGATGGGTGTTCTATAAATATTAGGTCATGGTGTTCTATGAATATCAGGTCATGGTGGTAGATGTTGGGTGTTCTATGAATATACAGTGTTAGATGTTGGGTGTTCTATGAATATCATCAGGTCACGGTGTTCTATCAATATCAGGTCATGGTGTTCTATGAATATCAGGTCATGGTGGTAGGTGTTGTGTGTTCTATGAATATACAGTGTTAGATGTTGGGTGTTCTATGAATATCAGGTCATGGTGTTCTGTGAGTATCAGGTCACGGTGGTAGATGTTGTGTGTTTTATGAATATACAGTGTTAGATGTTGAGTGTTCTATGAATATCAGGTCATGGTGTTCTGTGAGTATCAGGTCACGGTGGTAGATGTTGTGTGTTCTATGAATATACAGTGTTAGATGTTGGGTGTTCTATGAATATCAGGTCATGGTGGTTGATAGTGTTGTTCAGAACATCGATGTTTTTCCTGATTCTATTTTTGGTCTGTTTTGTCAATTCCTGAGAAAGGTATTAAAATTAGAGTTGCGTCTTACATTTTTATTCATTCTGGCAGTCCCTTCCTTTCACTGAAGTTTTTTGTCTACCAGCATTAAATTTAATTATTGATATGTTTGGATTTAGCTCTACCAACTAATTTTCTATTTGTTTCCTATGTTAAGAGTTTCATTTTCATTTTTCTTTCTTGAGATGAAATCTCACTCTTGTCACCCAGGCTGGAGTGCAGTGGCACGATCTTGGCTCACTGCAACCTCTGCCTCCTGGGTTCAAGCATTTCTGCTGCCTCAGCTCCTAAGTAGCTGGGATTACAGGTGCCTACCACCACACCCGGCTAATTTTTGTGTTTTTAGTGGAGATGGGGTTTCACCATGTTTGCCAGGCTGGTCTCGAACTCCTGACCTCAGGTGATCTTCCTGCCTCGGCCTCCCAAAGTGCTGGGATTACAGGTGTGAGCCACTGTGCCCGGCCTCATTTTCATTTTTCTTTTAACTTTTTAGCTTATACCGTTTCGCTGCTTTTTATTTTTATTTTTTTTGAGATGGAGTCTCGCTCTGTAGCTCAGGCTGGAGTGCAGTGGCATGATCTCAGCTCACTGCAACCTTTGCCTCCTGGGTCCCAGGTCCTGGTTCAACATGATTTCGGCTCACTGCAGCCTTTGCCTCCTAGGTCCCAGGTCCTGGTTCAACCACTTTACATTTTTTATGCAGAGGTTGCTCTAGGGATTACAATATTCATGTTTAATTTAATTTTTTTTTTGGAATAGGGTCTCACTCCGTCTCCTGGGCTGGAGCGCAGTGGTGTGATCACAGCTCACTGCAGCCTCAAACTCCTGGGCTGAAGCGATGCTCTCCCCTCAGCCTCCCAAAGTACTGGGATTGCAGGTGTGAGCCACTGCACCCAGCCTACAGTATGTAGCTCTCACTCTTCAGGATCTGCTTGGGGTAGCCATATTGCAGCCCTCTGTCCCCTGTTTAGGACTGTCTCTTACACCCCTGCATGCCGTGGGGTCTGTGTGCACACTGTAAACTCCACGAGGCAGCGTTTGATTCTTGTGCTTCGAATGGTCTTAGGGAATAAAGTCCATCAGCTCTGCACTTGGTAATTTCATCTATACTTTGTGATCCTTTCTTTTTATTTTTTTCTTCTAGATTAGCCTAACATGGCAGACCAGAGACAGCGCTCACTGTCTACCTCTGGGGAATCATTGTACCATGTTCTTGGGCTGGACAAGAACGCAACCTCAGATGACATTAAAAAATCCTATCGGTAAGTAGACAAGTGTGGGCCCCCTATCCCCGCAGGAAGACACACGCCCCGTGTGGTTCAGTCTGCATTTTACCAAGAACCATTGCATATACTTTATTCTGGCCGACTCAGCATTTAACTGGTCACAGCTCTATAACACCTTTGTGTGTGTAATCTGCTCCTTATAGCTTAAAATTATTATATTCGTGTTCTCTTGCCAACAAAAAATAGCTCTTAGTAGTTACTAACTGTTCACAGTTCCACAGGGAATCAGGGTCAGAACCTGTTTCGGGACCCCCAGGCAAGAGCAGGCAGAACTTTGGTGTGGTCCAGATTGTCCAGTGGTCTCCTTGTTTTAACACAGTGATGACAGAGACCCCACACTGCTGTGGCCTTTTCTGATTGAACTTGAAGAACTGCACTGTTAGGTACAGTTTCATGGAGTAACCTAAAAGACAGACAACCATTCAGATCGTCGTCCTCCTGTGTGCGAGCGTTGTGTAGTTCAGAAGCACATATTACAAGGCCGTCATTACACCCCGCCATGCTTACCATTCACTTGGCACATGTGCAGTTAGTGGGCTGGGACGCCAGGGCTGGCCTTGGTGCTGCAGAGCTCAGGTTGCCCAGGCCCTCCCTGCCCATGGGGCTCCCTCCTCTGAGGCTGGGTCAGGGCGGGAGGTTTCACTGAAGCGACTGTAGCGCTTGCTTCTGTCCCTGGCCTCTGCAACCCTGGAGAGTCGGACAGTGAGGTGGCCTGGGTGGACATTCCTTCCGCCGCACCCTGCAGTGGATGACGTGGGACAGAAGGCCGGGACAGAGCCAGGACGTGGTTTTGGTTTGCAGGAAACTTGCCTTGAAATATCACCCCGACAAGAATCCTGACAACCCGGAGGCTGCAGACAAGTTCAAGGAGATCAACAACGCCCACGCCATCCTGACGGACGCCACAAAAAGGAACATCTACGACAAGTACGGCTCGCTGGGGCTCTACGTGGCCGAGCAGTTTGGGGAAGAGAACGTGAACACCTACTTCGTGCTGTCCAGCTGGTGGGCCAAGGTGAGGGGCGAGCTGCCTGCCGTGCGGGCACTGAGGTCACTCCATGCCTGCAGGGTTTCCGGCACTGAGGAGGCCATGTGTTTGATGCCAGCACTCTGCACTCCTGAGAAATGGTTTCTGGGCATATGGAGCCTTTCTCCGCACCCTGCATGATGGGCAGGGTGTGTCACTGACTTGATGTCCTGCCTGGAACAAGCCAAAGTGCACAGATTGCCCCAAGGAAGAGCCGTGTGGAGCCACCAGATTCTCTTCTGTAGATGGCTCCCAGTCCTTCACAAGACAGAGGAGGAAATAACCCTTGATGTTTCTTCATTTCCTTGTTTTGTTCCAAATGTCTGTCATATATAAGGCCAGAGAGTTTGAATGACCGCATGGCCTTTGTGAGAAGCCTATATTTGACTTTGACTCGTTGGCCTCCTCACTTGCATCCTTATAAAGTGTTTTTTACTTGGTTAGTTTTAGAGACAGAGTCTTGCTCAGTTGCCTGGACTGGAGTGCAGTGGTAAATTCCTAGCTTGCTTTTTTTTGTTTTTGAGATGGAGTCCTGCTGTGTCACCCAGCCTGGACTGCAGTGGTGTAATCTTGACTCACTGCAACCTCTGCCTCCTGGGTTCAAGTGATTCTCCTGCCTCAGCCTCCCCAGTAGCTGGGATTACACGTGCCCGCCACCACACCCAGCTAATTTTTTATGTTTTGGTAGAGATAGTGTTTTACCATGTTGGCCAGGCTGGTCTTGAACTGACCTCAGGTGCTCCCCGCCTCGGCCTCCCAAAGTGCTTGGATTACAGGCGTGAGCCACTGCGCCTGGCCGACCCTAGCTTACTTTCACCTTCAACTCCTGGGTTCAAGTGATGCTCCCCCTTCAGGCTCCCGAGCTGCTGGGATTGTAGGCGTGAGCCCCATGCACAGCCTGGAGACTGCTTTTCTGGAAGCAGCGGATTTCGTTCTGTATCTCCCCTCATCCCTTCCTCAGTTCTTTCCTTCTGCTTCCTGTCGGGAAGGCAGTATCCCTATCTACCCGCCCGCTGCCTTATGCCGGGGGCGTTCGGGAGCCCTGCCCTCTCCAGGGGCGTCGGAGGCCGTGCGACGCCACCTCCTTCTCCCCCCAGGCCCTGTTTGTCTTCTGCGGCCTCCTCACGTGCTGCTACTGCTGCTGCTGCCTGTGCTGCTGCTTCAACTGCTGCTGCGGCAAGTGCAAGCCCAAGGCGCCTGAGGGCGAGGAGACGGAGTTCTACGTGTCCCCCGAGGACCTGGAGGCGCAGCTGCAGTCCGACGAGAGGGGTGAGTGCCCGCCCCGGGGCCCCAGTGTGTGGGGCAGAGCCAGACTGGGCCCTGAATGTGGCAACCTGTCTTGTCAAACAGGAGGGCACTGACACTGTGCCGCGAGTGTTTGTGGTGGCAGCTGGGACTGTTGAGGTGTGAACGTGGACCCCGAGGTAAAGCAGGCGCACAGAGCTGTCCCCACCATGACCTGACCTGCGGTAGCCGTAGAGCCCAGGGACTGCGAGGCGGGGCAGGGCGGCAGGCAGGCGGGGCGGGCCGAGGGCCGAGGGCTGGCGGTGACCCAAGGCCACGGAGGAAAGCCGTGCGGGGTGGAGGTCGGCGAGCAGCCTCTCCCCTTGAGCGTTTGTCCGGGTGCCTGCAAGTCATCCCGCAGGACCAGTGGTGGCGCCCGGCAGGCTGCGGCCCTTGTGCAGTGCGCTGTGTGCTTGCCTTTCAGAGGCTACAGACACGCCGATCGTCATACAGCCGGCATCTGCCACCGAGACCACTCAGCTCACAGCCGACTCCCACCCCAGCTACCACACCGACGGGTTCAACTAAAGCCGGGAGCAGCTGTGGTCAGGGGAGGAGGCAGCACCGGCCACGCCAACCTTAGAATCGTGAACTGTAGTCACAGACGGGAAGGCGGCCTCCTGCCTGCCCTGGCCACGCCCCTCCTGCCTCCACGCCCGCCCAGCGTCGACCCTTGACCCACGAAGTGCGTAGCATGCAGTATTTAAAGCAGTGTAGCTACGGTCTTCTGTTCTTTTTCCTTTTTTAATAGCATGTGCGGGGTTCTGTTCCATGTCTGTGTTGTGGACGTTCCGCGGCATGGCCGGCCGCGTTAACCGCACGGTGGAGCTGCCTCCCGGCTTTCGGTCAGGGCGGTCCAGTGAGGGGTGACGGCAGCTGGTCAGAGGGGCGAGGAGAATGGGGCTGCCCTTCCTCCCTGTGCTGGAGGCAGGTGGTGCCTGGCGGAGCTGTGTTGCCGTCCTGGCCTCAGGGTCTGGGCCACACGCTGTGCTCCCAGCCTTGAGCAAGCGGCAGCAGGGCCCTCCTCCTGCCTGAGAAGGGGCGGGGCACGTCCTCCCTGCGTCACCATCATTCCTTGGTGTCTGCTGGGTACAGTTGGCTTGGGGACTGTGGTTTCCTGGGCCTTGTGACAGGGTTTCTCCCGTGGGTGAATTTGGTGTGGAGAGCGTCAGAGGCCCTTCTGAGGTGGATGCCGCGTCCTCTGCACAGTGTTCTAGCCTGGGTCTCCTTGTTGCCTGGACTCTGAGGTTTAGGTCCTTGGAGGTGTGTCCTTCGCCCGTGTTGGGGTGGTTTGTTGGTGTTCCTGCACTTTTCCAGGGCTGTGAGCTGGATCGATGGGGCCAGTCTCCCCGTCCCCAGTCCTGGGGTCATTCTCCACATTCCTTCCAGCCCACCAGTCCTTTCCAGAGCCCTTTTTGGACCTTTAGAACCACAGATGGTAGGACCAGCCAGAGGAGCCACAGTCAGAGTAGTTCATGCATGTGTGAGCACCCAGCCGCTGGGGATGGCGGCTCTCCCAAGACCCCTCCTCCCGTGTTTGCCAGAGCTCCCGTCTGCCCCACTTGCCTTTGCCCCGTCATCGATGATTCAGGCAGAGACAGATTCGTTAGGTCCCTGGAGGAAGGACTGACTGGACCAGAGCGACCCTCCGGCTCAGGAGGGTTGGGTCCCTGGGAGGCCAGCAGCCAGACCACGGAATCCACATGTGGACCATTGGAAGTCAGTCTCTTGTCCATCCTAGACCTTGTAGGTGGTGCCCAGAGTAGGGGAGCAAGCCTGTGCTGGCAGGGGGGTCAGAGCTGCCCCACTCGGTGGCTCTTGGGATGTGCTGGGCCTGCCCTTGGCCCCGTGCTGTAGACTCCAGTGGGCCTGGTTTCTGCAGAACATCCACGATGGCCTCCGCAGAGTTCCCAGTAGAGATGAAGCTGAGGAAAAGGCTGTGTGTCTTGGCTCTGGCTTAGACCAACCAGACGAGCCTCCTCCAGCTCCCTTTCCCTGCCTGCCTGCTGACTCATTGCCCTCAGCGGCCCACCCAAGGCTGTGCAGAGGGTAGGTTCAGGGTGACCAGAAAGTTGCCAGAAGGGGCATGGATGTGAGGCAGATCTGGACGTGCTTAGGAGTGGTTTCGGTCCTTGGTGCTGGTTGCCCCCAGCTGCCCCCGACTGCAGATCCCCATGTAGGCCGTGAGCCAGCTGCCAGCACCAGGTCCTGGGGTGGTTGTGTTTGTCCCACGTTTCTTTGGTTTTTCTCACTAAAATGATCATGAAGACATTTGATGAGGAGAGATACGCACTGTGATATTAAGTTAGAAATAATTTGTCAAAATCGGACCTCTCCTGAAAGAGTAAGAGACTCATTGTTTGGCCCGTCCTGAGTAAGAGGTGGTGAGACAGTGAGAGCTTCCATGCCACTCAACACAGCAGCAAGGTCAGCCCGAGAGGCCGGCCATCGGCAGCCTTTGCAGTTTTTATAGACGTAACTTAGGAAGTGAGCTATTTTTCCCCAGACTGGCCAAGAGCCAAGTTCTAAGCTCGGACCTAAGGTAGAAAGCTGCCCATCCGGGGCTGGCTCAGCCCCACAGGCTCTCTGTCGGCTCACACAGCTCTGTGGCTGGGACCCTCCAGGGCCCTTTGGTACCATCAGAGCAGGCCGTTTGCCAGATGGCTTTTCAGTTACAATGTCCAATGGACCATTTTTTAGAACCATGCGGCTCCCCAAAGAGGGTGGGGTAGGGTGGGGGAGAGGAGCAGGTCTGGAGGATTGTGGAACCCAGTCCCTGCAGAATTTGTAAAACGTAAATAAACCATGCCCATGACAATTCTCACGGTAGTGATTGTGATTAGAAGACCCCCAGGAAGCCCAGACCCTCGGGCATGCAGTTCCTCTCACTGCCTGACCTGGAAACAAACCCTGTTTTCCGCGTTCTGCGCTGTTGGTTTTAAGGCCTTGTCTTAATTCAAGGAAAAAGATACTCCTGGGTTTTATTTCTCTTTTTCTTGAGTAGACCGTTACCCTGTTAATTAAAAGAGGTGATGAGCCCCTGGGACAGCTTACAGGCCTCCCTGTCCAGGGGAGGACAGGGGAGACCAGGATGCACCCGGCACCCCAGCCTGCTGGTGGCAGTGACAGGAGCTTCCTGACTCCGCACCCTTGGAGCTGTGGTCGATGAGTGAGCCAGTGGGGCCTGGGCAAAGAGCAGCCCATCGGGCGCGGCTGCCAGGGGCCTGCTGGGGTCATCGTGCTTCAGGGCCTGTCCGGCTCACGAGGAGTCCAGGCAATACAGCCAGCCTCGGACCTGCAGGAGGTGTGGGGGCGGCCCTGCGGTCCTTTCACGGCAGCTGCTGGTGTGGAGATTTGTCCCCACTCGGTGAAGTGGGATTTTTGTCTTCCTTTTGGCTTTATTTTTAAACTGCTTTAGATATTACTGCTCAGTGTTTGTGAACCTGCCTAGTTCTGATGTTCAGTTAATGCAGCCGGCACCTAGTGGGGACCTATTAGAAAAAGAACCTCACGTGTGCACACGCCCAGCAGGACGTGTCATCTCCATCGGCTGCTGCTGCCATCCAGGAAAGACCCTGGAGCCTCAGGCGGCTGAGACTGGTCTCGGGGGCTGCATGTCCCCTGCCACGCCCAGGGCGCCTGTTCGGGGTGGGCCGGGTGCTGCGGGGGCACCAGCACACAGGCTGCGGCTGGAGGGTCTCTTTGCTGTGGGCAGAGCTCGACTGGGTCTTGTCTGCCCTCCCTTGGCTCTGACTCAGTGCATCCTACTGTGGGGCATCTCCTGAGGGGACACGAAGTGACTGATCTCACCCTTTCCCAGTATTTGGAGCTGTGAACCCATGTGGCGCAGGACTGACCTGTGTCTGTTATTTTGATTGTGAATCATCCTCCTGTGGAATTGGCAAAAGCTACATTTTTACTGTCCTTACCAGCAACGGTTCGCGTCGTCACATGCTGTGAGTGTGGGCTGTGATGTGTCTGTGTGTGTACATATGTGTATATGTATATATCACGCAGCAAGCGTGTCATGCTGCTGTCACCAGGCAGCAACAAGTACAGTAAAAGGCGGCTCTCAAACAGCCTCTGGTTCTGGACGAGTTGAGCAGGGACCTGCAGGAGGCCTTCCTGGCAGGTGCACAGAAGGGCCGGCTGAGCCCACTGTGTGCAGATTGTGTGCCCAGGGCACTGCCATGGCCCCACCAGCATTGGCCTCTGGTCTGCGGGGTCGGGTGCCCGTCCTGGGGACTCTGTGTTGTGCTCACCTGACCCAGGTGTGTGTCCTGGTATGAAATCTAGGAGGTGACTGGAAACCCTTCCCTCCCTTGAAACATTAAAGCCAATTTTCTAAGCAACAGATACAATCAGTGGCAAAGCTGCCTCTGGAGGGCAGCCTGGGAAGGGGACCTGTCCTGGCCCCAGGTCCGCCCCAGAGGAGTTCACACAGCACTACGCTCCAGAAGGGGCTGGGCCTGGGGTCCTGTCAGCGGCAACTTTTGGTAGATTTTGTTTTCCTGGATACTGGGGAGATGTTTTAAGCCAGGTGGGGGAAGAAGTTAACACTGAAGTATGTATTGTTTTTAAAAATCCAGTGCAAACACATGGAAGCTGGTTGTCCATGCCCTGGTTTTGTTGCTGGCGCCCTGGAGTCCGACTGTGTTGGGTGCAGGCGCTGTCAGACCTCCGGCTGACCCTGGCCCGGGCATACACTTCCAAGGGCCAGGCTGGTTTCGCATGGTGATCTCCGTCTTGTATGTCTGAATGTTGACCTAAAATAAAGATTACGTTGTAAAATAAATGTTTTCACTGCAGACCACACGTGTGTCTTATTTACTGGTCCTGCAGATACCTGGTTTTGGCGAGTCTAGCAGTTGACCTTAGGAGCCCCCTGCACCCCTTGTGGCTGGAACCTCACTTCCCTCCTGCCTGGTCCAAATGTGGACAAACGCTCCCATTCGCTTGGTTCTCTTTTCACCTCCATTTTCTTTCTTTTTTTTTGAGATGGAGGTTTGCTCTGTCACCCAGGCTGGAGTGCAGTGGTGCATTCTCGTCTCACTGCAGCCTCCACCTCCTGGGTTCAAGCAATTCTCCTGCCTCAGCCTCCCAAGTAGCTGGGATTAAGGCGCCCACCACCACACCCAGCTAATTTTTTTGTATTTTTAGTAGACACGGGGTTTCACCATGTTGGCCAGGCTGGTCTTGAACTCCTGACCTCAGATGATCTGCCTGCCTCGCCCTCCCAAAGTGCTGGGATTACAGGCGTGAGCCAACATGCCTTTTCACTTCCATTTTCTAAATATCAAGACAGGAGCAAAGAGGCTGGGTGTGGTGGCTCACGACTGTTATCCCAGCACTTTGGGAGGCCGAGGCAGGTGGATCATCTGAGGTTAGGAGTTCGAGACCAGCCTGACCAACATGGCGAACCCCTTCTTTACTAGAAACGCAAAAATCAGCTGGGTGGTGGAGGTGCATGCCTTTAATCCCAGCTACTTAGGAGGCTGAGGCAGGAGAATCGCCGGAATCCAGGAGGCGGAGGTTGCAGTGAGCTGAGATTGTACCACTGCACTCCAGGCTGGGCAACAAGAGCGAAACTCCATCTCGGGGGGTGGGGGAGAATACAAAAAAATTGGCCAAGCATGGTGGCTCACGCCTATAATCCCAGCACTTTGGGAGATCGAAGTGGGCAGATCACAAGATCAGGAGTTCAAGACCAGCTTGGCCAACATGGTGAAACCCCATCTTTACTAAAAATACAAAAACCAGCCAGGCATGATGGGGCGTGCCTGTAATCCCAGTTACTCAGGAAGCTGAGGCAGGAGAATTGCTTGAACCAGGGCCTGGGAGGGAGAGGTTGCAGTGAACCGAGATTGCAACACTGCACTCCAGCCTGGGCTCTACAGAGCAAGACTCCACTAAAAAAAAAAAAAAAATTAGCTGGACCTGGTGGGGTGCTCCTATAATCCCAGCTACTCTGAAGGCTGAGGCAGGAGAGAATTGCTTGAACCTGGGAGGTGGAGGTTGCAGTGAGCCAAGATTATGCCACTGCACTCCAGCCTGGGTGACAGAGCCAAATTCTGTCTCAAAAAAAAAAAAAGTTTGGGAGCTGGGCACAGTGGTGCGCACCAGTAACCCCAGCTCCTTGGGAGGCTGAGGTAAAAGGATTGCTTGAGCCTAGGGGTTCCAGACTGGCCTGGCCGACATAGCGAGACCTTGTCTTTTGAAAATAAATGAAAATAGTGTGGAAGAAAAGGTATAAAAATACTCGGAATCGGCCAGGGTGGTGGCTCATGCCTGTAATCCCAACACTTCGGGGGGCCAATGTGGGAGGACTGCTTGAGCCCAGGAGTTCAAGGCCAAACTGTGCAGCAGGGAGATCGTGTCTCTACAAAACGAGGTTTAAAATTACCTGGGCGTAGTGTCTGTGTCTGTGGTCCCAGCTGTTCAGGAGGCTGAGGCGGAATGATCGCTTGAGCCCAAGAAGTCCAGGCTACCATGAGCGGTGGTTGCACCACCGAACTCCAGCCTGGGCGGCAGGGAGATCCTGTCTTAAAGCAAAGGTCAATCAGTAAGTCTGTCTATGTAAAATGTAACACCTTGAAATCCTCTATTCAGACTTAAGAAGTATGAAGTAGTTTGTGTCAGATTTTCCATTTTTAAGAAATGACAGCACCAAAGACCAGTCTGTACCCCCCATTTCCCGCCGCCGCTTCCCTAGTTTTGAACTTTGGCACTTTCAGGTCCAGTAAAATGTACCATTGGTTTATACCATTTTACATAAACTGTACTGCACTGTGCTAGCCCACCTGCCTTAGGACTCTCTCGTCCTATATAGTAGTAGTACAAAAATCAAGCCATGTGGTTATATGAGGTCTGGTTCATTTTAGCTTCTGTACAGAATAGTCACGAATTAATCACAGCCGCTCCTGGGATAATTGGCCACTGGCTTGTCGTTTTTCACTGTGGAAACGAAGGGGAAACGTCGCTGCTGAGCCGACCCTGCGGTGGGATCGCTGGGAGCGGGACCGGGGCCAAGAGGCGCTGCGGCGAAGCTCTCCATCCGCCCTGCGGCGCCCCAGCCGTCTGCGTCTACGAGAGTCGGACCACGCTCCCCGCAGCCATGCCTTCCTCGCTCCGGGCGACCGCGAGAGTGCGGTGGAGACCGCTTCCTACCGCGTTGCAGGGGCGTGGTCACTCCGGTAGGGCGGGGCAAGTGGGGTGAGCAACCCACCTGGGGACCAGCGGCGCACCCCGCCTGGCCTTACGGGCAGTTGGAGACCTTCGCGGCATCTGGGAAGAGCGGCCTTGAGCCATCCCTCCGTCCACAGACCCCTGCCTGGGATCCGGAATCCGAGATCCGGCATAACCCAGGTGCCGGGCTCGAGGGACACCGCGCTCCTGGCCACGGGCTTCCATGCAGGAAGACGCTAGAGCCCGAGAGACCTCGACCGCTGCGAAGAACCACCGGAGGACTGCGTCCCGTGTCAGATGCGCCCGGCCCGTGGACTGAACCCCCAGTGTCATCCCGGGAGGTTGATTCAGTTATCCGGGCCTCTTCCCACGCTCCAGGGCCTGTCACATGGGCGCTGCGCGCGCGCCTCTTCTTCCTCAGTAAACCACCGGCGTCTGCCCTCGGGGAGGATGAGGGGGACTTGCGTGGAGAGCAGGGTGGGTAGGACCTAAGGGAGCCTGGGCTTGCGGGCGTGGGCACAGCAGAGAGCATGGGACGCCTGGGCCTCCTGGTCTGGAGGGGTGCGCGGGTCGGGCCCTGAGCCCGAGCAGCAGCTGCTCCAGCGACGTGGGCCCCGCCCCCACTTCGGCCCTGGTCAGGCTCCCAGTGCTGCGGCCTCCAGAGACTTGTCCTGGTGGGAAGGACCTCCGACTGTGGGGAGGCCCTTGATGGTACAAATATGTAGGGCGGGGAAAACAGTCACAGGCTGCCTCTTGTGAGACCCAGAGCACCAGGTCCAGGCCAGGTGGCCACCCAGCTGTGGGTTGTAGGGGCCCCATCTAGCAGAGGTAGGAGCTGCAGGGCCCGGTTCTACCCCTTCTTTGATCTGGTCCTGCAAGAGAGAAGGCAGGGCCTTCAGCTCTCTCCCTCTCCGTGGGGAGTCTCCACAAACCCAGGCCTCAGCCAGGACACCACTCCTGTGCGGTAACCAGCGAATCACATCTTCATTTTTCTAAAGCTTTATTTTATAAAATGCATATAAATTATACTGGTAACATTTTAAAAATTAAAATAAATTAACATCTTTGTATTCAGCAATCCTGGGTCTGGAGGCAGGAGGAGGGTAGTGGCGACGGGGCGGCTCACTGAGCGGCTAACCCGTGTAGGGTTCCTCCTCGTCACTGCCGTCGGGTACCGCGTCTGTCCCAAAGTAGCGGTCGCCAAAGTTCCCTGGACAAAGAAGCAGGCCAGTGTCGGGGGGCCTCCCAGGGCCACCCACCCTGCCCTCATGCACGGCCGAGGGGCCTGGGCAGCCTCACCAATGCCTGGGATGATGCGAAAAAGGTCATTAACTCGCTTGTCCACCGCCGTGGTGATGATTCTCACTCGTGGAAATGCATAGGCCACTGAGTGCACGCCCATCTCTGCCATAAGCAGTGACAGCAGAAAGATCTTGTCCTCAGGCACGTCGTGGTCCTGCCGAGTGTACGGGCAGGTCAGTCCCACGTCTGCCTGAACCCGGCCCGCCTACCCAGGGCCCACTCACCAGGAGCACGCGCACTGCCATCATGGCCGCGGCACCAGTGGACACGGTGCAGTCCATGAGGATCACGTGGTCATCGCTGATGTCCTTGGGCAGCCTTAGGTAGTGGAGCTGCCGGCAGCATGGGTCAGGCTGCAGGTGGGGCTCCCCGCGCCCCCTTGCTGGGAGCTCCCTCTGCCCCCAACCCCCGGGCTCATCGCCCCGGCAGCCCCCAAGCACCTCAGGCTCCCCAGTGAGCTGGTTGGTCTGGATGAGGATGGTGCCGATGCGCACGTCTTTGCACACGGCGCGCAGCGCGGGCTCCATGGTCTCACCAGCGCGCAGAATGGACACGCCGGTGATCTACGGGGAGGGGAGGCTGAGCGCCCACATCCCGCCCCAGCTGCCTGTCCCGCGTCCAGGTGTGCCCAGGCAGGTACCTGCTTCCCCGCGTAGCACTTGCCCGCGTAGTCCTGCCCCTGTGGGGTCTGCACGACGCAGTCCTGTGGGGAGCAGGGTGAGGGCGCCCGTGAGGGCAGGGAGCCCCACGGCTCCGGGACCCACCTGCCGCCTCGCAGCTACAGACCTGAAAGGGCAGGAAGGAGAGCGCGTGCTCGATGAGCAGCCGCATCAGCCTTTTGGAGTAGAAGATGAACTCGTCGCGACTGGTCTCCTTGTCCCTGTGAGGCCAACGGTTGAGCGGGGGCACGCGCGCGGGGCGTCCTGTTCCCCCACCAGGCGGGCCTTACCTGATGATGGTGTGCATGCCCCGGACCTGCGGCGTGCTCTTCAGGACGCTCAGCGTCCGGGGCAGGGGGTGGCACTGGTGTGCTGAGGCCAGTGCAGCCCTGGGGACAAACCCATTAGGAACACTCAAGATGGGGTCTTCTCCCACATTCTCCCTCCCCACAGGACGGATGTGCGTCACTGCGAGGGGAACACGTGGGCCAGGCGCAGCAGGAGGTGCAGAGCGAGCCTCACTGCTGCCTGGGGCCGACCTGGGGGGATTTGTCACCCTCCTGAGCTGCCAGGCAAAGGTGAAAGATGGCGGCCAACAGCCGGGCAGCTCACCATCAGGCAGAAAGCTAGGTGGGTAGGGTGTGAGGGCCCCTCCTGGGCTAAGAGGAAGCAGAAGTGGGCCAGGCACAGGGCGGGCTGACTCGTGCAGATAGGTCCCAGAGCCCAGAGTGGGTGGCTTGGCCCCAGCCTCTCCCTGGGGGAACAACTAAAACTTGGTGGGATCAAACCCCGCCCTGGCTCCTCCCCAAGGTGTTGTGTGGCCTCTTTCGAGACGAGGGTGGGGGCAAAGCTGGCTAGAGCCGCCTGGCTACCCCACCACGCTGCTCAAGCCTGGGGAGGGCCGGGGCAGGAGCAGGTCTAGGAGCAGAGCAGAGGCAGGCAGGAAGACAGAGCAGCAAGGGGGCGTGGCAGGGGCGGGGCGTGGCAGGGGGAAAGGAAAGCGGCAGGGCAGAGGCAAGAAAGGTGATAGGCAGAGCAGAAAAGGGGCGTGGCAGGGACGGGCGTGACAGGGGAAAGGAAGGGCAGGGCAGAAGGGGATAGGCAGAGCAGAAAAGGGGCGTGGCACGAGCAAGAAATGGGCGTGGCAGGGATTTGGGTTTCGCAGGGTAGGAAAGGCTCGTGGCAGAAAACAGGGAAGGGGTATGGCAGGGGCAAAAAAGGTGTAAAAGGGGCAGGAAAGTGAATTGGGTGTGGTGGGGACAAAAGAGGGGAAAGAGGTGGGGCAGGAGCAGGAAGGGTGGGTTATGGAAGAGGTGCGGCACGGGCAGAACAGGGGCGTGACAGCCGCAGGGAAGGGGGCGGGGCAGGAGCAGGAAACGGGCAGTGCATGATGGGGACAAGGGGCTACGGGACGCGGGGCACACAGCAGCACCACAGAGCACTCTGCTCACATATCCCAACGTAGCTTCCTCTGCTTGCCAGGTGAAGAGCATGTTCAGGGAGGGAACAAGGCAGGAAACGGGGGTTTACAAAGAGAAGGAAGAGAACAAAGAGAAGGCTGCTTAGTTGCGGAGCAGGGCATTCCCCGCAGGCCTGAGGAGGAGCGTGGGGTGGGCGGCCACGCCCCCAGCCCTGCCTGGCCCTCCCTCCTTCCCCCAAGCAAGGCCTCATGGGGCTGGAGAAGGTGAGTGGGGCCGCAGGCCAACGCTTCCTTGGCTGTCCAGACGATGGAAAATGTGTCTGGCTGTGTTCAGGTGTTTTTTCAAGTTTGAAACCCTGGAAACTTTTTCTCAGAACAAAGGCTTCAGGAGAAACCTGACGGGACAAGACCTGTGGGTTTCCTGGCTGCCCAGAGGGCCAAGCAGAGACTCATGCAGGCACAGGAGGCTGGCGGACGGGCCCTGGAGACATTTCCAACGTTTGGTAAACTCTTTGGAGGACCCTGAGCATGAGGGCTCTCCCACCAGATGGCTCAGCCAGGAGCCTCCCAACCCACAGAAGGCGGGAAGATAAAGTCCCTCATGGCTGACCCCCTGCCCACCTGCCCTTGGGGAGGGGCGGTGGGATGTGGCCCCCACCCAGCCCAAGCTTCTTGCTGCCCCTGTTCCTGCTGACAGCTTCGAGGTCTGTGTGGAGCTGGGCAGGGCAGGGCAGGACCTGGGTGGGCAGGAGGACAGGGATGAGGCCCTCCAGCCTCCAACCAGGGAAAGCTGACTGGTCCCGTGAGGCACAGGAGGTACCCCAGGCTCCCTCGAAGCTGGGACATGTCTGCAGTCACTGCCCCAAGGGCCCAGCACTGCTGGCTCAGGAGGACAGCTACGCCCTCTGGTGTCACAGAGCCTCCAGCAAAGTCTGGCTAGGCCAGGGTCAAGACCCTGTGACCCTGGGCAAGCTACTTCACCTCTCTGTGTCTCAGTGTCCTGTCTGCCAGCAAGGGGAGACAGAAGCAGGGCTGGGACCATTCCGTACCACCCCTTCTGTCTCTGGGGAAGAGCCGGCTGCCTGCCTGGCTGGATCACAGCCCAGACCCAGGGCTCCCCGCGGGTGTTGGAAATGCCTCCATCTGTGCAAATAGCTGTGAAGTCTTACCTGACGCTGAGTTCACGCTGTGGCAGCAACACAGGGAGACACAAGGCAATGGTGACTTGTCAGTGACCAGGGCAGGTGGCCAGGCCACCCCACCCAGGAATGGACGTGCTGCAGGCCCACTGGGACAGGGCCAGCCATGGCAGGTGGCAAGCTTCTAATGGCCTCTAATCTGGGGACCACTCGGGCCAGACCTGCAGTTCTGGGCTGGGGCAGTCAGAGCAGGACCCTGGGCTCTGTTCTGCAGGCCTCAGGCCTTCAACATCCTGTTAGAAAGTGTGCTCAAGCCGGCCCAGGCTCCCAGGCCCAGCCATAGAATGCCTCAGGGAGCACGGGACCTCTGGTGGGGGTGTCACTCCTGGGGTGACCCCCTGAGAAAGAGAGGAGCCTGGCCCAATGTGGGACTCAGCAGTGAAACCCCACAGCCCTGGGCCAGCAGGTCATCTCTGTCATTCTCCAAAGCTCAGGCTGGGTGTGCTGAGTGGGCTGCAGCCTCAGCTAGATCCTGAGCACCTGTACCCCCACCCCAGCTTCCTCAGGGAACCCAGGCCCTGCATGGTGCAACAAGCTGGGGTCTGGGCCGGACGATCAGGCTGACCAAGCAGGCTCAGGACACTCAGGGCTGGACCGACGGGATGGTGAATGCAGGGGGATGGGGTGCGCAGGCCACTGAAGGCGGTGGCAGCGGAGAAGCAAGCAGCAGGGTGGGGTCGGGCTCTGGGGTCGTGGGACCTGCTGGGCTGCAGGCCACTCACCTCCTCCAGCTGGCTGTGCACATGCTGCACGATCAGATCGATAGCCACCGTGTTGCCACTCCCTGGGGCGGGACGGGGGGAGGGTGACTGGGGGTCGGACTGTTGGCCTGCCCGATGCCCGCGCGATAGGTGGCCCAGGAGGCTCACCTCTGGGCACCACAATGTCTGCCAGGCGCATGGTGGGCTGGATGTACTGGTCGAAGGCCGGCTTGACAAACTTGTTGTACTGCTTGATGACACCCTCGATGTCCCGGCCGCGCTCACTGATGTCTCGGCGCAGCCGCCGCACCAGGCGGATGTCAGAGTCTGTGTCCACAAAGATCTTCATGTCCAGGAGCTGGTGGAGACGGCAAGCCAGTGAGCGGCTGCTGAGACCACCTGGTCTGTGGGCCTGGTCAGAGCCACTTGCCCCAGGGCACCCTGCAGGTGGGGATGTCTGGGGGTGGGGTGCTGTCGCCAGGGGCTTAGGTGAAGAGGCATGGCATGGTGGCTGGCTAGGGAGCTGGGCAGGAATGGGGCTGAGTGCACATGATCCCCTTGGCTTGAGTGAACTTGCACAGACACACTGGAAGAGGGGGCATGGTGAGTTTAGGGTCTGTCCGCACGCTCAGCAGAGTTGGCCCCTGAGAGGCCTTGTAGGGGCCAGGGGCTGCTATGTGCTGGACAGTGGGGTCCTCTAGGCCTGTGCCAGGGGCAGGACCTGGGGCCTGGGGTCAGGCCAACCTGAGTCACACTCAGCTCTGTCCTGAAGGCCCCTGTGACCTATAGCAAAGTCTCAAATGCACCAGCCCTGGTTCCCCACCTGTCCCTCAGGACCACAGCAGGGGACGAGAATGACAACGTGCCAGGTGTGAGCACGGCCTCAGCCACTGAAGAGGGAACCACTGCCCTAGGCAGCCACGCTCTGCCTTGTGGGGCCTGCAGAGGGCCCCAGCTGTGCCATGCCTGGGGTTGAGGCTGGGGTGGGGAGTGGCTGGCCTAGGCCGATAAAGTGTGGAGGCCTTGGGGACGGGGCAGGAGCACGCACACCTCAGGGACAGGGTAGCCGGGGCCGAGACACCAACAGGGTGGGCGTTCCCGGCAGGTGCTCACCTCCAGCAGCGTCTTGTCAGCAAAGGCCATGATGCCCTCAAAGATGATGACGTTTGCACCATACAGCGTTTTCTGCGAAGGAACCCAGTTGTGGAACACTGCTCCAGTGCCTGTGGCCCCCCAAGGCCCCTCTGCAGGGCCCCGGCCTACCCAGTCCTTCTTCCGGCTGTGTGTGGTGAAGTCATAGATGGGCACCTTGACGCTCTTCCCCTGCTTCAGCTTCTTGAGGGTGGAAATGATGAGGTCGAAGTCAAAGGCGTCCGGGTGGTCAAAGTTGAAGTTGTTGTGTGCGGCCTGTTCCTGCTGCTGCTCAGTCAGCACCTGGTGGGGGAGGCTGTGGAGCGGCTGCGGGCACTGCAGGACCCTCACCCAGTACTAGCGGGCAGGAGCTCTAGGCCTCCCAGGAGTAGCCACACTGGAGCTCAGAGACCAGGGACCTGCATGTGTGGGGGGCCCAGGGTCAGGGAGAGGACAAGGGGATCCTCAGAGGAGCTGGGTGGGGGCCCACCTTGTAGAAGGAGTCCATGGACAGCAAGACCACCCAGGGCACGTCCAGGGCCTCGATGATCATTCTGGCCACAGTGGTCTTCCCAGAGGCACTGCCGCCTCCCAGGCCTGCCGGGGAGAGTGGAGAGCCTCTATGGGGAGCAGACGGGCTGGCCGCACAGACAGGTCCCGGAGGTGCCGGGCTTCCCTCTGGCGCTCCACGAGCATTGGAGGGAGCCAGAGGCAGGCGCCCGGCAGCAGGTCCCACCCTCCCGCAGCTCTCACCGATAGCGAAGGCCTCTTTGGATTGCGTGCCGTGCTCATTGTACCAGGGTGGCCGCCCCGCCGTGTAGATGGTGCGTTTGCTGGTGCGCAGCAGGGGAGGCTCCGACTTGCACTGGCTGGTGGTGCGCTTCCGGGGAGAGCGCCCAGTGCCCACAGGTGGCAGGAGCCTGTCCAAGGACTCTGCATTGCTGCTGCAGAGAGGGATGTGCTCGGATTTGGCCCAGGGCTGCCCACCTTCCAGGCACCTGCTAGTGTGGCCAGCCCACAGGGCACCCTCTGCACCCCCCAACAGGCAAGGCTGAGGCGGGCAGGCTCATTGGGGTGAATATGAACTCTGCCTGGGCTGGGCACTTTGGCTCACGCCTATAATTTCAGCACTTTGGGAGGCTGAGGCAGGTGGATCATTTGAGGTCAGGAGTTTGGGACCAGCCTGGCCAACATGGTGAAACCCCAACTCTACTAAAAAAAAATAATAATAAATACCCAGGTGTGGTTGCGGGCACCTGTAATCCCAGCTACTGGGGAGGCTGAGGCAGGAGAATTGCTTGAAAACCCAGAAGGCAGAGATTGCACTACTGCACTCCAGCCTGGGTGACAGAGCGAGACTCCACCCCCCCCCCAAAAAAAAACCACACCCTGCCTGCAGTTGGGCCACAGGATACACAGAGCGAAGTGCTCAGCCTGGCACAGGGCCTCAGATCATCGCTGTCTACACAGCAAGGACAGAGGAACAGCAAGCAAGGACAAAGGAAAGAGGAAAGGCACTCTCTTGGGGCCATGCTTCTGCTGTGTGGACGGGCACTGGCTGGGCTGGGCCAGGCCTTGTGCCCAAGGGAACTCCAGGTGGGAAGAGAAAGGCAGGCAAGACCCCAAAGTTGACCATGTTCCCTTCAACCCACCACACTCTCTGGGCAGCCAAATCGCTGCCATGCTGAAGGCGGGGTGCCCAAGGAGGCGTGAGGGCAGCATGTGGGTGGAGGCGAGGCCAGACCAGGCTGTGTGCACACACCCAGGGTGAGGTCCCCAGACATGACCAGCCAGAGGGCTCAGCCAGGACCTGATCCTCCTGCAGTGACAGGACCCTGCACAGGGTGGTGCCACGGCCTGGCCTCTCTGGCCGTCAGAGTGCAGGATGGGGGACCCTGGGCTGGGAGCCTTATGGGAACTCCATTCATTCTTGCTGTGGCCCGTCTTGGGCCCCCAAGATAGAAACCTCCCGCATGCAGCAAACACCAGAGACGAAGGTGCTGCCACCTGTCTGGGCTGCCTGGGAGCTGACCTGTGAGCCTGCCTGGGGCAAGGGGGAGCCCCCAGAGGCTGCTGTGCCTCTCAGAGACAGACAGGCTTGTCTGTTTCCACACTGCCTTCAGGAGAGTGAGCACTGGGAATACCAAGCCAGTCAGCCTCACGCAGCATCCCTCTCTCCGGAGTTTGCTCTGGGGCTGAGCGCAAATACAAGCGAGGGGGCCTGGGGACAGTGCCACTCCACCAAGCACTGAAAGGGGAGCAGGTGCCGTGGTACTGCGCCGTGACCGCATTGGGGCTGCGGCTGGCATGGGACCTACACCCCACTCAGGTCTGCCTGAACGGTCATCCGTCAAGAAGGAGGACGGGACCCAGCAAACAGAGCCACGATCACCCAGGGGCCCGGACACTACCAACACGCCAGCGGTAAACAAAAGGGCCTGCAAGGCTCACCCCCAGGGGCCATCTCCTCAGGCTCCAGCAGCAGGTTCCCAGCAGACAGCAACTCTCTGGTGGCCCTGGGGGCCGTGGCGGGCAAAGAACACATCTGGGCGGCCCCTCCCCTCGATGCTTAACCCTGGCATCTGCAGGGAATCACCCGGTCTTCAACCTCAGGGAGGAAGCTCCGGCCCAGACAATCTGACTTGCAAACGGGCAGGGCTCTCCAGCAAAGCTCCCAACGCTGCCCCTGCTGCTGATGGCACTTCCTCCACACACCCTGGATTCCAAGGGTGAGCCTGCTAACGCATGAAGCTGGGACTGACTGGAGGGACGTAAACCTGACAGCGCAGGCCGGGCTCACACCGTAAACCTGACAGCGCAGGCCGGGCTCACACCGTAAACCTGACAGCGCAGGCCGGGCTCACA